TGTTACCTTATGGCATTTTGGCTTTAGTTGGATATGATGCATCTGTGCCTTTTGAACGCATAAAGCTACCAGATTCTTATAAATGGTTTGCTTGAACATCATGTTCTTGTCTCATGGCATTTTGTTTGATGATGCAGTAGACTGTATTTTTGTTTGATGATGCTTGGGTACCTGCTGAGAAGGCTTCCTAAGGCCTAGAGTGACACTATAATATATATCTCTAAAGAATAAACATGCTGATACCTGTTCAGTACTCTTGCTGTCACCAAGTATAGGACAAACTCAAAGTCACACAAATTATTAGTTTTAGCCCAAAATGGTTTAAATTTTAACACCTAAAACACTCTTAAAAAACTTCCTGTTTCTAATTTGAAGGATAAGGCTGTGAAATTTGTGGCACAAGGTGTCCAAATTTCATTTATATTGTTCATAGTTCACATCCGCATCACATGTGATTAATACTTGATTTGATAGGTATTATGGAAAGGCTAATAGAATCAACACACTGACATGATGATGATTTGAATCAAATTTTTTCCATGCAAAGTGGAGGGAAATTTCAGAGTGTTGAGGTCGTAAACTTATTCTTGTAGTTAAGTTGGGAGAGAGAGGATGAGGAAAGACCCTCCCAATCCTGGCTTAGCATGGGTTTCTATTTAGCCATAGGCTTGTACACTACACGGCCAAGTTCACTCGGGCTCTACGGAGTTATTCAGCTCAGGTAGGGCCATGAGTCTTGAGCCGAAATTGAGTACTTGTACCTTGCCTTTTAAAATCACACGCCCTTCTCTCTTCCTAACTTTTCCTTTTTCCCAGGTTTCTTTGTCCTTGGAAGGACGCCCCATCCTACTTGGCAGGTCCAGAAGAGTTCTTCAATGATGCTTAATGATTTGTGCATCTCAGTTTCATCATTGTAATTAAACTGTAACATTAGGTTGTAGATATCACTATGCTTTGGTTCTCGTAATCGAAGTCCAGCAATAGGTTGCAGACATCACTAAGTTATGTGATAACAAGAGCATGAGAGCAGTAGTCAGAAGGGGAAAACAGAATGAAAAAAGTATTCGATCCGAGAGATGGACATTCAGTTTGTAATCCAGTTTTTCTGTTTATATAGTCTCTGCATCAAATTGACTTGATTCAGTGAGTCTCATGGTTGCTTTTGTTGTGTGACATCGTTTTCACCCAAGTGAACTAACTGTTAAGAACAAGAACATAACAGGAAATGAGACCTTGAAATTCAACTCACTTGCAAGCTTGAGGGAAATAACCCACAACTTTTCCAATAATCAGAACATATTTTCTAGTAACTACTGTAGGAAACCACAACTGACTAATGGTTTGAAATCATCCACCACGGGTCTCCATTTTGTTTTGTTGGTCGTAATACAAACTAAAGAAACCAAGAAGCATTGTAGGATTGATGTCGGGATTGATGTCGGGATAACGTTTGTGGTGGCATATAATGACTACAATTAAAGTCAGATATTGTGTACGACACCATTTTGAATATCAGGCCAATTTATATCGAAGGATGCATGCATAATGGCAACAAAAATTTGTCTTTCGAGTAAGCTCAATTGACATTCTATATATGAAGGCGACCTAAGCGACTGATTCTTCAAATCCCGGTCACAGGAGTTCTTGAAGCGAAGGCCAATCGAGCTTACGTGAGGGACCGAAGTTGACCCGTTACACTCGTAGTTTCTGTGAACTGAAATGAGGCTTGCGATCACATTCAGTTTCACCAGCCATGCATGAGAATATGCTTCATCAATCACACCTCTCTCGATTCTACTTCTCTTTGTCCATTGCACCACATGCAGAAGCGACGGGAAGTAAAGACCATTAGGTTTTTTCCTTATGGCTCTGGCAAAAGAGCTCGTCCTTCCATTGCCCTCGCCATACTAAAAATAGCTCCTCCTCTTAGGAAGACTTCTTGTTACCGCTCCAAGTAGTATCTTCCTTGCTACTCCCTCTGCCACCACTCTCTATCCTCAGCCAACGTTTAAGACAAATAGCCTTTTTACTTGAGCGAACTGATATGATAGCATGTCCTTCCTTGATCTAGCTGATAGGAGTGCATAGCGTAAAATTGAATTGACTGATTAATAAGCCAAAAGGTAGTACTCAAAGGGTAGCGTAACAAAGGACCGGTCATTGAGAGGCTTGTCAGTCTTTCCAGAGTATAGAGATAACCAATTAGACTGTACTCTCTTTTGAGCTTTGACCATCAACTAAATATGCTAAGATAGGCTTTTATTGTTCAGCATGTTTAGAGTTGCTTAAAAACAAAATTGAAAAACTAAACAAGTGGCAAAGCTCATCGTTCTTAATTAGTGATTAGAACTTGCATTTTCTACTAAGTGACATTCTAGTAAACAAAATGATTTCCAGTAGATTTGTAATTGAATCGAAGAATGTCTTGGATATTAATTTTCAGAAAAAAGCAGTTTAGTATTCTTTCTCCATTTATCTTCATGATGTAGAACTTGTAAAAGAAACACAGGTATGTCTTTCTTTTTAAACTCTTGGAATATGATTTCTTTCTTTTGTTGTTCTTTTTCTTTTTTTTGCATGATTATTTCGATTGCATGAGGATCCATACCTAATATTTCTATTGTTCTTAGTAAACCAAAAGGCATCTGCTAGAAAGCATTGCAAATATCTATATCTACATCTACATAAGGAAAAACTTACTATATGGGTGTGTCCTTTTGCGTGTTTGTGTGTATGAGTATTATGTACGTACACGTCAATTTGAACACGAATTGTGCTTGTGAAATTTGTTGAGAATCTGATTAAATGTTTTCTTTCTCATGTGCAGATTCTTATAAATGGTTTGTTGGAAAATCATTTTCTCACCTGTTGTCATTTTGGTTCCTGTTGGTTATGATGCATCTGTGCCTTTCTAAGTCTTTAAGCTACCAAAATCTTATAAATTTTTTGCTAGAACATAATGTTGTTGCCTTATGGAATTTTGGTTTCAGTTGGATACGATAAATCTGTGCCTATCTAGAACTGTAAGCTACCAGATTCTTATAAATGGTTTGCTTGAACTTCATGTTCTAGCTATATGGCGTTTTGGTTTCGGTTGGATATGATGCATCTGTGCCTTTCTAATATTTTAAACTAAATACTTTAAGCTACTTGATTTTTTGGGAGTTTGTTCTTGCATTCTTCTTGCCAATTCTCATGGTTGAGACAATATTTTTGTTTGATGATGCTTGGGTACCTGCTGAGAAGGCCGCCAAAGGCCATCCACTTTTCCAAAAATATTTTGTTGAATTAGATAGAATCATTAGAAATGTTGGTGATCTCTCTCAACTTAAAGTCCTCTTCGACCTACCAGATTATTGCCAATTTGGTCATGCTAATGTCTTGTAGCTCACTTCACTTCAATTTGGATGTGACTTGGATGATTCCAAGCTTACTCTCCCCTGCTGCGCTGTTTGTGTTGATGTTTTATGGACATTTTGTTGAAATTTTTTTGGATAAGGCTTTGTTACCACAGAGTGTGATTTTTAAAATCACGGACTCACTCGCCTTTAGAGATAATCACGAACTCAAGGCTTTTTCCACATATATATCATGTCATAGGTTATGTACAATTACATATACTGGTTGCATCCGCAGGTTGCACATATCTCATTACAGGATGCCCATATATAGGTGTCTACAACTGTTATGCAACTACTCATAACTCACAACCCGTGACTCACATCTATATAAGGAAAAGGCACATGCTAGAATGCATTACAAATATCTACATCTATAAAAGGAAAAACTTACTATATGGGTGTGTCCTTTTGCATGTTTGTGTGTATGAGTATTATGTACGTACACGTCAGTCTGAATTGTGTTTGTGAAATTTGTTGAGAATCTGATTAAATGTTTTCTCTCTCTTGTGCAGATTCTTATAAATGGTTTGTTGGAAAATCATGTTCTCACCTGATGTCATTTTGGTTCCTGTTGGTTATGATGCATCTGTGCCTTTCTAAGTCTTTAAGCTACCAAAATCTTATTAATTTTTTGCTAGAACATAATGTTGTTGCCTTATGGAATTTTCGTTTCAGTTGGATGTGATGAATCTGTGCCTTTCTAAGACTGTAAGCTACCAGATTCTTATAAATGCTTTGCTTGAACTTCATGTTCTAGCTATATGGCGTTTTGGTTTCGGTTGGATATGATGCATCTGTGCCTTTATAATATTTTAAGCTTAATACTTTAAGCTGCTTCATTTTTTGGGAGTTTGTTTTTGCTATCTTGCTAATTGTCATGGTTGAGACTGTATTTTTGTTTGATGATGCTCGGGTACCTGCTGAGAAGGCCGCAGAAGGCCATCCACTTTTCCAAAAATATTTTGTTGAATTAGATAGCATCATTAGAAATATTGGTGATCTCTCTCGACTTAAAGTCCTCTTCGACCTACCAGATTATGGCCAATTCGGTCATTCTAATGTCTTGTAACTCAATTCGGTTCAGTTTGGATGTGACTTGTATGAGTCCAAGCTTACTCATCCCTGCTGCGCAGTTTGTGTTGAAGTTTTATGGACATTTTGTTGAATGTTTTTTGCATAAGCTCTGTTACCACTGAGTGTTATTTTTAAACGCACGAACGCACTCTCTTTTGGAGAAAATCACAAACTCAAGACTTTTTCCACATATATATTATGTCACAAGTTACGTAAAATTACATATACTCGTTGCATCCGCAGGTTGCACATATCTCATTACATGATGGCCATATATAGGTGTCTACAACTGCTACGCAACTACCCATAACTCAGAACCCATGACTCACATCTATATAAGGAAGAGGCATCATCTAGAATGCATTGCAAATATCTACATCTAATTAAGGAAAAATTTACGATATGGGTGTGTCCTTTTGCGTGTTTGTGTGTATGAGTATTATGTATGTACATGTCAATCTGAACACGAATTGTGTTTGTGAAATTTGTTGGGAATCTGATTAAATATTTCTTTTTCATGTGCAGATTCTTATAAATGGGTTGTTGGAACATCATGTTCCCACCTGATGGCGTTTTGGTTTCTGTTGGTTATGATGCATCTGTGCCTTTCTAAAACTTTAAGCTACCAGATTCTTATAAATTGTTTGCTCGAACATCATGTTGTTGCCTTATGGCGTTTTTGTTTCTGTTGGATATGATGAATCTCTGCATTTCTAGGACTTTAAGCTGCCAGATTCTTATAAATGGTTTGCTTGAACATCATGTTCTTGCGGTACAACGTTTTTGTTTCGGTTGGATATAATGCATCTGAGCCTTTCTAATATTTTAAGCTAAATACTTTAAGCTGCTTGATTTTTTGGGAGTTTGTTTTTGCATTCTTCTTGCCAATTGTCAAGGTTGAGACTGTAGTTTTGTTTGATGATGCTTGGGTACCTGCTGAGAAGGCCGCCAAAGCCCATCCACTTTTCCATAAATATTTTGTTGAATTAGAAAGCATCATTAGAAATATTGGTGATTTCTCTAGACTTAAAGTCCTCTACGACCTACCAGATTATTGCCAATTTGGTCATGCTAATGTCTTGTAGCTCACTTCGCTTCAGTTTGGATGTGACTTGGATGAGTCCAAGCTTACTCACCCCTGCTGTGCAATTTGTGTTGAAGTTTTATGGACATTTTGTTGAAAGTTTTTTGGATAAGGCTCTATTACCACTGAGTGTTATTTTTAAAATCACGGACGCACTTGCTTTTTGAGATAATCAAAAACTCAAGGCTTTTTCCACATATATATCATGTCACAGGTTATGTACAATTACATATATTGTTTGCATCCACAGGTTGCATATATGGATATCAATATAATATGAAATCAGTAAAAAACATAAAAAACTTGTCTCTAAATATTTAAAACTGTAGGGATAGTTACAGAAGCTACATAAGGAGTCGTTTTGATACCTAGAAATATATTGTCTTTAAATATTTTACTAGCATAATACAATAATACATAATACATAATACATTAATTGCAAATGGATTGTTACTGTTTGGGTATTATTTAGATGCAACCTGGCGAATACATTACTACTGTTTAGGTTGTATTTAGAAGCAAATGCGATTGGAAATGGCCAAAATATGGAGATCGCAGAGATTTACAAAGCTACTGATGCTACATGAAAAATCAAAGCCAAAGAGGATGAAAAATCAGAGCACCACAAAGAAACAAGGGCACATAAGAGAGAGAAACCTTGATAAGAAACCAAAACAGGTGAAAAAGAAACCAAAAACCAAAATCTCCATCATTTATAGATAATTTACGCCCAAAAAGAAAAGAAAAAAAAATGGAGAGAGAATCTCAAGTATAGGAAATGCGAAGGCCTTGCAGGCTCTTAATTGGAACCGAATTCAGGACTGTAACATGGGTCGCTCTAATGGTGGTGTAGAGAGAAACAAAGTGAACCAAATTCAACAGCAGAAACAACATAAGCAAATTAGCTTTAATGGGCATCACTACTCCCAAAGGTAACTGATACAAAGAGTAAATTGGTTCACTCTAGTGAGAGAAAACCAACTAATGGGAGAGGAGAACCCCTCAAATTGAGGATTAGAAGAAAGAAAAGCAACACAGGACCAAGGATTAGAAGAAAGGGGTATCTCAAATTGATATTGACCTCTAGTATTCATCTAATGAGGAGATCTCATAAATCTTATGCAACAACCCATCAATCCAAATCCCTTTTGGATTGATGAGAAAAATTAAAAACAACAAAGAACATACCTAAAATTGCTTCAAGGGCTTGAAGAGCGATGACATAACAATATGATAGCAGATGGCTTCAAATGAGGGCTACAACCCAAATTGGGGATACAAGGATGTAGAAATGGATGTGCGCAGGAGAGTGTAGAAATGGATGCGCATGCAAACACTTATTAGTGGAGTTTAGAGAGAAAGTAGAAATGGAGGTGCACAGGAGAGAGGGGGAATTGCAGGAGAATGGATGTGCACACAAAAGAGAGGGAGCATGGTGGTAGATAGAGGTTTTTTTTTTTCTTTGGTCAAGAGACGCGCGTAGTTAGATTACCCAGTAAGCATGTAATGGATTTCACAACCATCTTGTGCGTAATAGATTTCACGTATATTATTTCCATTTTCATGCGGATGAAATGTACCCAAACATGGTAAATCTCATATTTCCTTGTAATATGTTTCATTATAATAGATTTTCAGGTACCCAAACGGATCTCATATTTCTTTGTAATATGTTTCATTATAATAGATTTTCAGGTACCCAAAAGGCCCCTAAATGTAAATATATTAGTAGTTGGCATTATCAAAAGAAATACAAACGATGTATGACATTGAGCGGTTGCCTTGCTTCTAGAGTTCGAATCTTCGAACCCTACAATTTGTTTCTTGAACTTCTATAATATAAAAAATGACACTCTTTTTCAAAAATGACACTCTTTGAAAAAGATTGTATTGATTCTCTCCCAATTGGTTGGATCGTAGGTGTAATAATATATTTCACGGGCGAGGTCTTTGTCTTTATGCATCTATGTTTGCATTTATATGTTGTGTGGTTCGTGGACGTAACACAATTTCTAGATCAATCTATCCATTTATCTAAATGTTTGTGTTTCAAATTTAAATACTCTCCCTCCTTCTCTCGCTTGATCTTTTGACCATAATGTTGTAGGTTTTCGGAAATTGTGACTTTTTGGACTTGAGGAATTGTTTGCTCTCATCTTTTTTCATTACATGTGGAATCTTAATGTGATTATTTCCTCAGAATCTCATACAACAGCAATACTATAATAAAGAAAGGTATTGGTTAGGTTTGCATATTGTTTGTTAATTTTTTGATAGTGCTAAATGAGAAACCCTATAGGTGGATCTCTCAAGCATGTTTTTTCATGTTAAATGCTATACTTGAGAGAGTTTTTCCCTTTGAGTTTTTTCAAAAGGCTGCCGTATTGTTTATGTTAATGTTAAAAAAAAAAAAGTGTGCCCGATTCTTTCAAAAAATGTGATCACTAATGCATATTGGCCTCAGTGATTTGATTATACTTTTGTTGGTTAATGAAAACATTTAAATTGCAGGGCATCACATAAATGGACATTGGCCAAGGCTTCGAGTAACTCGCCCTAGTCTAAATTGTTAAAAGATAAAGAGATCAGGACAAAAACAATAATTTATTATATAAGATCCCATCTTTTACATCATACCTTGAATGACATGGTGGTTAGCTTTGCCGCCCTTACGGGATGCCACTATTCACAAGGTCTTGTGCTAGATTCTTGCGGGCATACAGGCCGAGTAACATGATGGACTTGGTGGGGTCGCAGAACACTGGTTAATAATGAATACAAGTGTTTAAAAAATCAACTCAGCCATGGTACTCGGACCTTGGCGGAGGCGAGTTATACGTGCGAGTCAGTTTAACTTGCTTGAGTCTAGCTCTTTTTTTTTTGTAAAGAAAATGCAAAAAATAATAATATGTATAATTAGTCAGCATGTTTTTACGTACAGAAAGTTAATGAAATATTGGTTACATTGTATGACATTGAGCAGTTGCCTTGCTAAGAAGTCTAGGGTTCAAATCTTTGAACCCCACAATTTGATTCTTGAACTTCTATCATATAAAAGAAGACAGTCTTTAAAAACAAAAGTTACACCAGCGGGATTCAAACTCGGACAATGCTAAGAGACATGCATACCCATTTACTAACATGTTGTACAACCTACTCGGCCATAGCATGCCTCGCCCATACGGTGTGACCGAGTCCGAGTGCTCTCGACTGAGTCTCAGAACACATGGGTATCATAAGAGCCATCTGTTAATGGTTTTATGCGATGAGTTTTCCCTTCTATCAAAAACAAGATTTATTGATGTGATGAACAAATTACTTGAGGTTATCTTTGTATTTACTATTCAAGTTCAGCTATATCTAAAGACCAGCCTTCAAGCTTTTGAGACAAATATCACAAAGCTTTCCCTGTTCTAGCGTAAATCAGGTATGCTATAAACCATCAATTGTAAAAGGAATACGGTTTTTATATCGTCTTGGGATATGATGTCAAATCATAATCCACGGTATTTTCATTATGACGAGGGCGATTTTAGTCATAATGAAAAGGTTCTTTCTCATAAGGCTTTATAACTCATTTGAGTTAGGTGAGAAAAAGAGGTTAGAAGAAAAAAAGAACGAAAAAGGTAGATAGGAAGCATCGGAAGAAATTTTGGGGGTATTTTGTGAAAAACGCTAACACCACCATTTGGGTTCTAGTTGTGCCATTTTATCGGAATTTCTTCACGACATCTGTGAATCGAAAAAAGGAGTCGATCGTCGGTGATTTTGTTTTACAAAGTTCTTTTATTTGAGCTATCCTTGAGATTATATGAGGTAACTCTACATGACCCCAATCTTGTATGTTTTTCCTCTTGATAGTGGATACATCTTTTCCATCTTACCAGAGGACGTAACCCATCTTGGGTGAACCACGTAATTGTGCGTGTCCCTATCTACTTTCATTTGTGTTGTCCTTTGATTATTTCCCATATTACTTGTTTTCTTGCTCATTTATTTTTTTCCAATTACAATGCACTTGTTATTGCATCTTGGGCATGTTATTTTGAGTTTTGAAATTATTGTCCTGGGGTGCTCACCACATCGAGTAGGGATTTGAGATATCCCGATTTTCTCAAAAGGGAAAATTGGGTTATCCCGATAATCAATAAGTGGTATCAGAGCTCAAGGAATTAGTGTAGTAGTTTTAAAAAAATAGCATCTCAAAGTTTGAGAGGTGGAGAAGTTTAAGGGGACAGATAATTTTGAAATTTGAAAATAAAATATGTAAGATTTATTGGTACATCAAGAGAAACACAAGGCATTAAATGTAAAAGATAAAAAACCTATCAATATAATGGATGATGATTGGGATGAACTCGATATGAAGGCATGGGCTACTATTTACTTGTGTTTAGCGAATGAATTTTTGTTTAATATTGTTGGTGAAAAGACGACAACAAATTTATGGGAAAAATTAGAAAGTTTGTATGAAACAAAATCTCTCACAAACCGAATTTAAGACAGAAGCACTTGTGACAAGAGGCCGATCAAATGAATGGGAAGATTCATCAAGGCATCATTCAAGAAGTAATTCATGATTTTGATTCAAATCTAGATGGCCCAATAACAAGAATGTGTAATGGCATTGTGGGAAGCCCGATCATATAAGGAAGAATTATTTTAAGAGAATAGGGGTGAATTCTTCCAAAGATCTTGATGCAAGAGGTGAAACGTTAAGTGAATCAAAGAATGAAGTAAATCAAGTTGA